AAGTGTTTGATAAGTTTTAGATCCATTGCTTTATAAACATAACCCATAATGTGGACTCTTTTGTTTAGATATTGCACTGTTGATTTTGTTTTCATTGAAAACTTCATTTAATATTTTTTTTCATATTTACAGGATTAAGTGAAGTGGATTATTGCATTAATAATTTACATTTTGCATAATATGTTGAGGTAAATGACACTATGGTATATATATTTATATAGGAGTACCGTATGTTCACTTTTAAATTGAATTTTCACTTATTTCAGTAAATGGGTTGAAAATTAATTTTGCAAATAATACCTAATTATGTGCTCACACATTTGGATGATAGAAGCCAGCAGAACTTCACTCACCTAGCTAAGTGAAACAGTAAATGAGGTGAAGTTGTGCTTCCTTCAATCATCCAATTACTTGCAAGCAAAAATATATTTTTTTAAATTTCCCTTGCACATATTTGGCAGTCTTTGCAAAGTAAGTTTTCAATGGGGTTGATTTACTAAACAAACATACTGCAAAGCATAGTAAATGAGGTGAGGGCCTCACTTGCAAAGATTACCCACTCAGATGCAAGGTAAATAAAACTGCATTTTTGCTTGCACATGATTAGATGACTGACGTCAGCAGAGCTTCCCCTCATTTACTATCATTTTACTAAGCTCTGGAGTAACTGCCCTTACAGAGTGCACACTGTATTTTGCCTTTAGTTTATTAAACCCATTTTGTTTCACTGTTCATTAAAATAAGGAAAAATTCAGTTTGCAACATAAAAATTTACTTCTTGCTCTACTCTTTTAGTACGGTAAATAAACCATTTTGCAGGGAGAGAAAAAAAAAAGCAGCACCTAGAAAGGTGCGGAAAGACAGTGAAAAACTAAGCATTCTGGGATTATCTTTATTCTTTATTTAGTCATCACATTACAGTGGGTAGTAACAAAGCTTTTGGGGGTACAGTCTTTTGGCAAATGCATGATAATGTGAGACACCAACCACATCCAATACATTTTTGATTATAGCCTTGCAGCTACTAAACACATTATAGCAAAAAACTGGAACACACATAGCCGCCGGCAGTGATCACGTGCAAAAAATCTGACAGTCTGTTTGTACTGAAGTCAGTTAATGAACCAACTCCAATACATCAGCCTGCCCATAGATAGATCGAATTTTGGGCTGGTCCCTGCTGCACCGGTCAAGCTTAACCACATGCCGCCGAGCCACTGTAGAAATACGGCGGCAGGGCGGCACGGCTGGGCAAAACCATGTTTTAAAATGTGTTTTCAAAACGGGTAGGGGCGCACACAAGGCGCGCCTCCGCCCTACCTGTCCCGCCGATCACGGCTGCGGATGTCAGTCGCCGGGTCACATCCGGTCGTTACTGGCTGTGTCCCGGCGATTAGCGGCAATCACTGACAGCACAGCTGCAGTAGCTGGGCTTTCTGTCAGTTCACTGACGGCTTCTGACATGCTGAGCCAGAGAGAAAAGTTTATCTCTCCCGATCAGCTTATCCCCCCCCCCCCCTGCAGTACACACCCCGCCCCCTAGTAAAACACTCCCCTCACACAGTTAAACCTTTTACTGAATAATAAAGTTAACCCCTCCCTCCCCAGTGCCATTAGTACAGAGTCAGTGTTTTTTTTTTTGCACTGATCACTGTATTGGTGTCACTGGAGATGTCAGTGACCCCAAGTCAGTCCCCCCCCCCCCCCCCCCCCCCCCAGTGTCAGAATGTCCGCCGCAGTCCCGCCATAAGTCGCCGATCGCGCCGCCATTATTAGTATAAAAAAAAATTAAAAATCCCAGTATCTTTCCTGCCATTTGTAAACGCTATAACTTTCACGTAAACCAATTAATTTACACGTATTGAGGTTTTTTTTTTTTTTTAGCAGACATGTCGCAGAATGCATTTTGTCAGAAATTTATGACTAAATTTGATTTTTAATTTTTTTTTTTACTGGACATGTTTTATAGCAAAAAGTCCAAAATATTGTTTTTTTTTCCTCAAAATTGTCCGCCTTTTTTTTTTATAGCACAAAAAATAAAAACCGCACAGGCGATCAAATACCACCAGAAAGAAAGCTCAATTTGTGGGGAAAAAAGGATGTAAATTTCATTTATGTACCGCGTATTGCATGACCGCTCAATTGTCCGTTAAACTAGTGCAGCGCTGTATAGCAAAAAAAATGGCGTAAATTGCAGTATCTATACCATAGTTTGTAGACGCTATAACTTTCACACAAAGCAATCAATATACACCTATTGGGATTTTTTTTTACCAAAAACATAGCAGAATATATTTTGGCCTAAATTTTATAACTAACTTTGAGTTTACTATATATTTTTTAAAGGTGAAAGTAAAAAATATAGTTTTTCTTCAAAATTTTTGGTCTTTTTTTTTTTATAGCGTGAAAAATAAAAAGCGCACAAGTGATCAAATACCACCGAAAGAAAGCTCTATTTGTGTGAAAAAAAGGACGTAAATTTTGTTTGGGTGCAGCATTGCATGACTACGCAATTATCAGTTGAATTAGTGCAGCGCCGAGTATCAAAAAGAGGCCTGGTCATTAAGGGGGGTAAATCCTCAGGAGGGCAAGTGGTTAAATACATCTATGGCCAGCTTAAACCCCGCTACTAATCAGAGATGAGGTTTGGATTTACATGGGGTTTGACTGTTGGGGTCCTGTCAGATTCACTGTGGCATTTGTTTTAAAGCCCTAATGCACTGCATGGCTTTCAAACCATGGCCATCAGATGTACCAATATTAGAGGGCTTTTGGATAAGCCAGCCCCTTCACTCTAAAAGAGGGGTTTACAGCAGCCATAGTGTCAATGTGTTGGAGCTTGGGCAGAGTGCTCACAATCTGTATAGGGAGAGCTATTACTAAACAGTGGCTCAGTTCTTTGGGCTGCAGTGGTGGCGGACCACATTGTCCTCTGTATCTTCCACCTCTATTCTGTGTTTACAGTTCCTTATATAACTCCAAAAATCATTTTTTGGGTTACTTTCTGTATCAGCAACAAGTGTCTTTTGTTTGCAATCTTTTTTTCTCAAACTTAAAGGGGTCTTTTGTTTATTTAACTATGTGCTTGATATGAGAGCAATAGTCATTTAATGTTGCGGCCCCATCATTATCAAAGCTGCATGTTTCCTATTTTATTTTATGTTTTTGTTCTGCTAGGCTTTAAAAAATAAGTGAGGTTGTTATTTTTGGGTTTATATATACAAGGTGGTATCAAAAAGTTTCGAAACTAGCTTTGGAACACGCCAACAGATGGCAGCACAAGGCTGCACACACCGCCACAGGCAGCAGCGACCTTCATAGGTTAGTGTGCCAAAAGTCGTCATCCTGTGTACATCGAGAGCTGTACAACTGGTGCTATTCTGACCACGTGAGTTGCCATGTCTGCTATTTCATCATGGACAGCAAGTTAGAACAAGCAGCAAATGTGAAATTCTGCGTGAAACTGGGCAAATCCACCTCGTATGTAGTTTTTTTTTTTTTTTTTCCCTGGGGGGGGGGGGGGGGGGGTATATTTGGTGTTGCCAAGACCTTTTTTTAGGTTTGGGGTGCTCAACGCACAGTGTTTACTGTTTGCTGGAGAGTTCTTGAAGCTGCCATTTTAATGCAGCATACCACTGCTTTTCTGTATGTAAACAGTGTGCACCAAAACCTGCTTGCATTTACATTGCACCCCTATTTCCATGATTAGGCATATACCGAAATAAAACATGACTGTGACAGGCAGGCTAAAAATCAGAGCAAAATGTGCTGCATGAGGAGGTAGTAGGGTACAAGCTGGTCCTGGTCCTGGTGACCAAAGCAGTGTTAGGTTCGCAACAAGTAGAGGCAAGGCAAATCAATGTTTCCTTGCAGAAAAATACTGGTCAGTCCAGCCATAGCACATATAGGAGGTAGTTAACTGCTTACAACACCTGTATTATCTACCTCTTGGATACAAGGCCCAGCTGAGCTGTGGTATCATGCTTCATTACACTTTTCAGTTTCCTTAGGCAGGATTTTTCACCTTGCAGCAATGCCGTGGGGCTGCTTTATTTATAAAAAATAGCCTGTTTGCATTGCAAGAACATTTTTCACTTTGCAAAGAATACCCAGTCCTGTGCAAGGAAATTAAAAGGAAACATGTTTGCTTGCACATGATTGGATGCTTGAATTCAGAAAAACTTCACCTCATTTACTAAACAAAAGGAAAATTCCATGGAACCGTGAGCAACCTTCTTGATTTGACTAAATCAATCCCATAAATTCCCTCTCGCTCTGTCAAGAGTCCCCCAATATTTCAATCAACCCAAAATAAAACACAAATTTATCTTAGCAATGCCACTTTTGATCCCTTTCTTATAATTCACCCTTTTCTAGTCATGTTTCCAAGTACAAACATGAGACAGAATGTGGATGAATAGAAAAGGCAACTTAAGCCAGCCGCGCATGGCTAGAATCTCTACCAATACCTAGTAAATCAGGCAAGATTCAAGTTGGGCAGAAATTTGTTGGCAAAACAGTGATTGCATCCCATGAGATGTAGTCACTGGTCAGGTATTCAGGCAGCAATGAGTGTTGTGACTATTTGAATGCAGTAGCCTGCAGAGGAGACTGTTTAGCCTGGTTGGAGGAATCAACTTATTTCTCCTATATAGTTTGTGGGCCTGAAAAAGAAAAACCTATGCGTATGACTAACATTAGCCACAAAACAACATAAAACACCATATAACGATGTATTTTACTAGTTTACCAATTTTCATTGGAAGAATGAGAAATTGCAAATCACGAGTGAATATTTCTTATATAGGTAGTGCTGCATGTCACATAATACCTATCAAGAATTAAAGTTGTAGCCAGAAGTATTCAAATAGCTTGTGGATTCCTTACATGAATGTCAAGTTGTTTTTTCTGCAAAACATCAGAAGTTTTTTAAACTGAATTTTTTTCCCCTACTTTAAATGCATGCATTACATGTACTGTATGTATTGGTATTTTCACAGTGCTGTCCTTGGTGATTTTTTCGTTGGACAAGAAGCATGGAAAACGACAAATGATAGATCAACATTCTTTGCCTGGCTTGATACTCGTCCAGCTAATAAAGCATTCAAGTAAGACTCTTTATTTATCTATCTATCTATCTATCTATCTATCTATCTATCTATTTATCTCCTTCTGAATTATGACCTACATTCTTGTTACCTGAGTGTTGTGTGGATGCTTTAAAACAGTATTAAGCCCAAAAGCAAACATTTTGTTATATTGCAGATTACCAATTCTTAGATGTGTTGGATGCATTAATTTTCTTATTTAGCCTTTTTTTCTTTTATTTTCATATGATAATCCAGCCAGTAAGTGTTGTTTTTCAAAAGCTCTCCAGCAGAGTGTATGTTACAGAGATGAGGCCAACCCATTTAATATTAGCGGGGTGTTTTTACAATGATCAGCTGTTATTTATATACGTATTTAAAAGGCCACTATGATCCCGGGGGAGAAGTCTCTGTCCTTTAAAGACCCAGCAGACAGGAAGGTGGAATCGGTTGCACACACGAGGCTCACTAATGTCGGCTTGGCCCTTCAGCTGGTTTCGGCGAGTGCCCTGGTGTATCAGACCCTTATGGAATGGGCCAAACTCCTTCATTATGGCCTGGGTGGGGAGCAAGTTTCCCTGGCTTATGTGGAACCGGTCCAGGGCCTTAACTTTGTGTGTGATGCGGCAGCCTTGCTCTCCAAGCTCTCTGTTCCAGTGGTGATGCTTTGGCACATGCCGTTTAAATGCTGGTCAGCAGACCAGAAGTCAAGAAGGCTTTAACAGATTTGCCCTTCCATGGTGATTTGCCTTGGTCAAAAGACCTGGGAAAACTTTCCTTCCCTAACATTGGACAGCAATCATGAGGGACGCCAGCCTGTCCGACTAGGGATGGGTGCTGGGGGCAAGCTTGACTCAGGGTCAGAGGAATCCCAGTTATCAATCAGTGTCCTGGAACTTTGGGAGTGTCCTGCAACTTTGGACTGTTCCTGGAGCAGTGGATTGGTCATCTTGGGGGGCATACTGTCCGAATCCAGTTGGACAGTGTCACAGTGGTGGCCTATGTCAACCAGGAGGTTGCACATTCCCGGCGTGGACAGTTAGCAGGCAGACTACCTCACATCAAACGTTGGACCAAGGCGAGTAGTCCCTGCATCCCAACATGTTTCATCAGATTAGCCTCTGGTGGGGCACTCCAGACATGGATCTCCTAGCATTTCAGGCATCATATGACGCCCTCCCAGAATGCGCCCTCAGCAGTAGGTGCTATAGCAGGACGGACTGCTCTCATTGGGTCACATGGTCTGATCTGGCTGTCACCTCTTTATCAGCATTATTTTGAGGCTGCTGCTAAAGGGCCTACTACTTTTACTGCTGGGATAAGATATTCAGGAAACTGTTCTCCTTGTGTGCCCTGGGTATTCTGCATATTCAGTCCTCATCCTTGCATTTTTAACTGTAACCTGCAATAAATCATACTTGAGACTGGATCCTGAGTTTGTCGGTGTGCTTCTGGAACTGGAAACAGGGTGGGCAGCCTCTGAACAGATAAGGGGGACCCAGGTAATTTCCAGAGCTCCTTTTGGAGTCATCGCTACAGAAATTAAAAAAATACTGTAAGTTACAAGTTTGGGAATTCCATAAAGGATCCAGCAAGAACTTTTTTGCCTCAAGACTGCCTTAAACAACATTTTTGTTCAGATTTTAGGAAAGTGTATTTTTCTTTAGTCTAAGTATTATAGACATCTTTGTGTTGCGCTTCGTTGCCCGTCAGATAAAACTTTGTTCACAAGAACCCTAGACTATACACAACTTAAAAAAAAAAAACTCTGCACTAATGGCCAGGGGTTATTGTCATTTATATTCATGCCAAGTACTGTGTCCCCCTTGCTCTGGGGAAGGCTTAATAGATAATCCTGATGGAGAGTTTCACAAAACCAGTTTATTATGCTCCAATGTTATTCTCATTACATTGTTTATCATTCCCCTGTTTATTTCCTTTTAAGAAGTTTTGAATGTAATTTTGCTATTTATTTTGCTTTATTTTATACAACTTGGAATGACTGGATTTCCTTGTACTTTTCTAATAAACATTTAGTGAAATCAAAACCTGTACTGACAAGAACATGCTGGTTGCTATCAGTGACATCTGAACGTGCAAGGTATCTAGCTGCATACAGGCTTCAAAAAATTTTGAAGCACCAAAAAGGAATAACAAACATTTTCAGAAAGAGATCAGCAATGGACACGTTTTCTATTCTCTGCACAGGATTCCCTTAATAGAAAAACTAGTATTATATATGACATATGCATAATTTAGTTATATGGTTATCTCTTTACAGGCAGGTCGATGCTGTGCTAAGATATTTAAAGGAGAAGTGCCATGCCACAAAAATCGGCATTATTGGTTTTTGCTGGGGAGGAATTGTTACTCATTATATTACGCTCAATTATCCTGAATTGAAAGCTGGAGTGGCATTCTATGGTAAGATTTTTCTTTAGTTCTGAAAAAAATATTATTTATATATACTCTTAAGAAACCAACAATAAAATACTTTAAATGGGCTACTGTTGTAATTCCTACACCGTTCACCTGATTGGATGTAAATACCCTCAAATTAAAGCTGACAGTCTGCAGTTAAAGCACATCTTGTTCGTTTCAAATCCATTGTGGTGGTGTATAGAGCCAAAAATGTTGGAATTGTGTCGATGTCCCAATATTTATGAACCTGACTGTGAATATGCCCAACAGTGTCAGGACAGACACATATAATATTATTATTATTATTATACAGGATTTATATAGCGCCAACAGTTTGCTCAGCGCTTTACAATATAAAGGGAGACAATACAGCAACAATACAGTTCAATACAAGAGGGTTAGGAGGGCCCTGCTCCTTGGAGCTTACAATCTAAGAGGGAAGGGCTGGTGGTTCAAAAGGTAATAACTATGGGGGATGAACTGATAGGAGGAATAGAAGATTCCGTTATTAGCTGAAGGCAGGATAGGCTTCCCTGAAGAGAGAGGTTTTCAGAGATCGCCTAAAGGTGGGAAGAGTAGGCGATAGTCATATTGATTGGGTAGAATGTTCCAGAGGATGGGGAAGCTCTGGAGAAGTTCTGGAGACAAGCATGGGAGGAGGAGACAAGGGAGCTAGAGAGCAGTTGTGGGAAGAGCGGAGAGAACGATTTGGGTGATATTTGGAGACAAGATTGGTGATGTAATTTTGGGCAGAATTATAAATGGCTTTATATGTTATTGTAAATGTTTTTAATTTTATTTACATTAATGGGGATGTTAAAATCTCCAAGAATAATAGTGGGTATTTCAGAGGAGAGAAAGTAGGGTTGCCAAGCAGAGAAGTCCTCAAGAAAGCGTTAAACCAGTCCAGGAGTCCTGTAGATCACTGCAATCCTCAAGGAAATGGGAGAAAAGAGCCAAATGCAGTGGGTCTCAAAAGAAGAGAAAGATAGAGAGGGAGGGTTAGGGAGGACTTGAAAGGTGCTCAGTATGGATAGAAGCAAACCAACTCCACCTCCTTTCCGAACACTGGGTCTGGGTGAGTGAGTCCACAGAAGGCCTCCATAGGAAATTGCTGCTGGAGAAGCAGAATCTGATGCTTGAAGCCAGGTTTCTGTAATTGCTAGTAGGTTAAGGGAGTGAGAGACAAAAAGGTCATGGACAGAGGTGAGCTTATTACAGACAGAGTGGCATTCCAGAGTGCACAAGAAAAAGGGAGGGTGGTTTTTAGGAGCATGGGGATTGAGATTAAATTGAGTGGATTGTGGCTATTCCTGGAGGAATGAGGGTGCCTGGTGTGGAGGTGAGATACTGGGGGACCAGGGTTTGGGTGATATATCCCCAGAGGTTAGGAGAAGGAGGATGAGGAAAGTAACATGGAAGTGGGATGTATATGAGTGCACATGCCTTCCTGTCCTGGTGTTTGGGTCAGAAGGTGAGTAAAGTATTAGCAGACGGTGATGAGAGCAGCAGTAGTAAGATAGTAGAAGTGAGGGTGATAAGTATAAGCTTTGGAGTGGAGCAGAGGGGTAAAGAAATGAGATTTTGAGAACAGAGGATAGTAATATGAAAAGGAGTAGAGGGGGCATATTAAAATGTAGTTGGAGTGGGAGATGTTTCCCAGGCTGTTTGCTTGCAGTTCATCCAGCGTGCAGTAGAGTTCTTTTGTTGTATCATGCTGCTGCTTGAGGTATCCTGCTTTAGTTAAACTGCTGTGTTTCAACTGCTGTTTTGCTTTCCAGCAGAAAATGCACTCACGCAGAACAATGCCCCGTCTGCAACTACCCCCCGTGTGTACACAAACAAAACAACATGCTGGGCTCACCAGGTAGGTGACCCTCATTCCCACCAACCTCACCAAACACAAGTAATCAAAAAAGAGGTATTTGCGGGACACAGTCTGAACACAGAAGCTATTCAAAAATATTGTTCCATGTTCCACACAGTCCTTGCAGTTCTGCATTGAAAACATCTAATGGCAAAACTGTAACCATAAAGCAAAAAAAACAAAAAAAAAAAACAAAGCGCACTAGTGGGGTAATAACGTATTAACAATAACATTTTAAACATTTGCTATGTTTTTGAGGAGGAGCAGTAGGCAGAGGCACTACAGGCAGTGAAGCTTTGCTTTTTAAATGTAACCCAGCGCTTATCACAGCTTTACATTCTTCTGGTCCACCTCACCCTTGTGAGACTTAACAAAATGAGGGTGAGAGAAGAACCAGATGTTCTAGAGATCATATGGATTTGATTCACCTTCTGTCCAAGGTTAGCCTTGGAGAGAACCCTAAACTTTGCCTTTGGGCATCCTGCCTAACCTCCAGGTGGAAGACCCACATAAACAGGTGATTACAAGAGCCTTATTCCAAGCACGGAAAATAATTCTCAGACATTGGAAGTCAGTGGATCCACCCAGAGAGTGGCTCACTCAAATTGGTGATATGTTGCGTTTGGAAAAATATATCTATCAACACAGAAGGTGTCCTGGTAAATTCAATAATGTATGGTCCCCATGGCTAGACACACCTGGGTTATCCCCAACAGATTGTTTTATCACCACTGGTATGTTGAGTTGTTAGTATGCTGCCTTTGGTCATTACCCTAATAAAAGGCTACTGGACATATGAATAATTCTATGGATTTGAAGGTTGTTGATGCCTATCTTTGTAAATGCAATGTACTTGTTTTTGCCTATGTTTTTTTTTTTTTTTTTTTTCTTCAATAAAAGTTCTTTTTAGATAAAAAAAAAAATTGCTATATGTCTACACATTTTTGGCCTATTGCAGTGTTCTGCTTTGCTTGCTGCCTATTCCAGTGCTTCATAACTGTTAAGATGCCACAAAGTTTCCCCATCTGTACTTTAGCTGACTATTTCTAATGCTTGAGACTATTGTTCTTCAGACAATACACTCTAATGTTCATTTAAAGATCAAACCTTTCAGCCTAACCAATCTGTTTGCATATTATCAAGTCACTGTACAATATTTGTGGCTATTGTCTCTGAGATAACATACACTAACATTTATTTTAGGCTAAAACTTACCTTTTTCTCTTCTGCTTACATTGCAGCCTTAACAAATTACTTCCTTACTCTTCAGCCTTTTCTGGCTATTGTCTATGAAATAACACTGTTTATTTCAAGATAAAAGCTGTCTTGTCTCTCCATCTTAAATTGTGGCCTTAATAAGCTGCTTACTTACTATTCTTCAAATTAAAAATATTTGTGGTCATTGTTTCTCAGATAATACATTCTAATGTTTATTGCAAGATAAAACCTGCATTGACTCTCCGTTTCACTGCAGCCTCACCTAGTTCCTTACATACTGTTCAGTCACTGTACAATATTTGTGGCTATTTTGTCTGAAATCCTGCTTTGTTTATTTCTGTTTGCTGCCTACTCAAACACATACCTGAAGCCTAAATTTTAAATAATATGAGAATAATTGGGTATATGGGAATGCAGATTTTGGACCAAAGTGCACAAAACACTTTGGGAAGTGTTTTTTGTGCACTCTCTTTTTCCATTTTATTGAACATTTAAGATGATACAGTGTGGTACTGCAAAAAAAAAAAAAAAAAAAAAGAAAACCGCTCACAAACTATAAATTGAAACTTGCGCCACCGACCAAATTGTACAAAGCTGAGGGTTTTAGCTTTGTACACGTTCCCATAACTTAGATTTGTACAGACAACTACTTTGACCGGTTAGTTCAGGCCTATTACTGCTGGATAAATATTCAGATGTCAAATCCATACTACCTTAATTTTTTTCAAGTTGTATTGAATCAGATTGGGATATTGCTAATGCTGTGTTTGAGCCCAACAAGTAAAACAAATCTATTACGCATGCAATATATGTGATTACAGAAATGGTGTTTACTGACGCCTTACATGAGAACTGTACTGTTCCGTAACACCACATACAACTTAAAGGCATCTTCCAGGCATGTAGTTAAAAGAATTGGTGGTTTTGGTGTGTCAACCTTGAAGTCACATACAAAGGAAGACTCTCCCCCCACTTTACTGTGTTTAAAAAATAACTATTTGGCATTGGTAAACCTCCCTTGTGCCAGTACCCAGCTCTCCATGCTCTTTGTTTGACATTCCCTTGGCTGTTAGCCTTGAAAATGGCCAGAATTGGTTTGCAAAATTTGCCTCTCCTTGGATTTGTATTTAATTTTGCAATTTTTGGAATTACGATATGTTGGATAAATGGCCCACAAACCAAGACCAGGACAATTTCCTCATCCCTAGTCTGAGTGTTAAGCAATCACATGGTTTTTGGCATCTTGGCAACAGGTTTTCTTGTGGTGAAACTTTGTGTTGTCCCATAATGAGTTCTGTTTTAGATGAGAATTTTGTAGCCCTTCCACTTGGTCATACATCAATCTTCATGAGGGAAGTAGTTCTGTCTGCAAACTCTATATGGCAGCACAGTACTGTAAATGCAGTAGGTCAGCTATGTCTGAAGGTCAAACTATTGTTGAGTCTTATTGACACAGCTGCTATAGAGGTTAGCATTCATTTTTTACCAAAGTTTATTATTATTAATGATAGGAACAGCTGAACATGTGAATTGGTTATAGTAGATACACATACACTAAAACAATCTTATTTTCTTATTGTTTTAAAGAACATCACAACTGGCCTACAAACACTTGGTTAATTTAACAATAACAAATTAAAGAGATGTTCCCACAAAAAACTGAAGTATACCAATGATGAAATATCACAGATGTGTAAATGTCTGAAAATCAGACATGGCTATGCTGCCATGCATGTTAACAAATGTAATGAGCATTAACTTTCTTCCATGCTTTCACAACTGCCAAGATAGACTATGCATTGTGTACAATCCAATGCTCTTTTTTTATTTCAGGCCTAGTCCGCGAAGAAGGAGATAACTATGATTTGAAATGTCCAACTTTATTTATCTTTGGAGAATGTGATCCGCTTATACCACTTCAAAAGGCAAGTGTTGTCTGTATTATATATTAACTATGTATTGACAGAACACTCTACTGCTGTTTGATTTGTTGCAATAAAAGATAGAAATTGTTAGAATGACAGAAGCCCAGCCCAGAATGAGGCAACCTATATTTCACATTTTTTAGCAACTCAGGATCTGTTTGATGTTAGATTAGATTTGGTTATTTGTTAACTAAAGGCCTTGGTAGGCTAACGTGTCAAAATCAGCAGAGGTTTGTTAATACTAGCTAGTTTAATACAAAGGTCCCAATGCTGGGGCTTAGGAGATTAACCACTTCAAGTCCGAACACTTTCACCCCCTTCCTGTCCAGGCCAATTTTCAGCTTTCAGTGCTATCACACTTTGAATGACAATTGCGCTGTCATGCAACACTATACCCATTTGAATTTTTTTGCATTTTTTGAGACAAATAAAACTTTATTTTGGTGGTATTTATTCACCACTGGAATTTTTTTTGCTATTTAAATGAAAAAGTCCAAACATTTTGAAAAGTGTTTTTTTTATAAAATTTTGCACATAAATATTCTTTCTTCATAAATATTGGCAAAAATGTATTCAGCTATCTTTTTAGTAAAAAGAAAAAAAAATTTAGTATATAACCAAAAATTATAATTTTTCAAAAAAAAGTTTCCTTTTTTTATTTTATTTTTATATATTATTTGTTTTTTTGTTTTTTTTAACATACCGTCACCCTAGCAGTACAGTGTCACCATAGTGACACTGTACTACTTGTGGGGGGTGATGATTTTTTTTTTTTTTTCTTTTTTTACACTGATTCCTTTTACACCAATAAAGTCTGTAAAAGCAATCATTTCTCCTTCTCTCTGGCTGCATTCTTGCAGCCATTGAGAAATACTGTGAGTGCTGTGATTGGTCACAGCTTGTCACATGGTACAAGGCTGTTGTGAATAGCCTTGTACCATGTGACCTCTGTGATCATTCAAAGATTTCACAAGTAGTAAGAAATGATGTCAGGAAGAGACATCTTGTGTACTTCTATTCATGTGATCACTGATTGGCCAATCAGGGATCACATGAATCGGGACCTCACACAGAGGTCTTGTACAGCGATCGGTGTTCCGCTGTGTCATCCGGACACAGTGGGCATCGGGTCGCAGTGCCGCGCGCTCCCAAGGAGCGCGCACAGGCAGTGAATGCGGGGGCCGTTTATAAACGGCAGCCTGCTTCGGCACTGCTCCCGTGCAGCCCATGTACATAAACCCATGTACAGTGATTAAAGATAAGTACATGAAAGCCAAAGTGTGGTTTAGATGTTAAGGGATCGGTACAGACCAACAGAGATAATGTCACCAGAAGAAGGCAGGTGTCCATCAGCAAGGTGCTTGCTCTGAAGATTTTTATGAGAGCCTCTTATGGTGATGCAGACTTATTGCAGCCAAGCGACTCCTATAGTGTGGCCCTTGATATTCCATAACTGGTGAAAGCTGGGAGCACATATGGGAAATGGTGGAAACTGGAAATGAAATGAAGAAATAATTAAGGTAAAATGGTGCAAGGAGATAGGAGAGACCAACAAAAGGCAACTGCCAGTTGCAACAACTGCCAAAAAAACACTAGATTCAGTGGCAATAAATAATAAATGCCAGATTGGGTACTCAGGAATAGAACAAAATACACTAGACAGTGGTGACAACATAAATATGACAAGCAGGGACAGGGGATATGAGTTGAGTAGAAAAAAACGAAGGTGATAAAGTACTGTAGATTCTGTTACGGGAATTGTAGTTACACCTTTTAAGCAATTGTACTCATCATGAATTTTATGTTGCTGTGTAGCAGGGAAACCTGAGTAACTTGAAAGTAAAGTAAAAGGAAACCTCATGTGTAAAGGTTTGTTTTAGTCCTTTGATAGTTTAGTAAGGAACAGCAAGGGGTGGCAAAGAATGGCCCCAATATAGAGTACTTACCCATTAGCCTGAAGTAGCCCCCCACTGCTGCTGCACACTAAACTGTAGTGGCAGTGGGGGAAGGGGGGAGCAGCGCCTTCTTTTCATTAACTTTATTTGAAGTGCACAGAACTAACACTGCATTCATGTCATTTCACAGCAGCTCGGTGTGCTGCCCTGTTGTACAATGACATATGAACCTGTCCTGTGCGTTGCGATAAAATGCAGCATTTCTACATTTTATCACAGTTCACTTCAATAAAGCTTTGGGCTGCATTGCAGTGTGAATAAGGCACATATACAACAATTTGTTTCCTGTGTGTCCTGGCAGTGACTGTTTATAATAACAAATTTTGCATGCAACCTTGTTCAATGCAGTCTTGTATTGTTATTAATATACAGGATTCGTCTAGCACCAATAGTTTGTGCAGTGCCTGAAAAAAAAAATTACATCATTTACAAAAAAAATTCAATAGAGTTTCAAGGGCTTTGCTTAAGCGAACTTACGATCTAAAGCATGGTACACACTACAAGTTTTTGTTTTTTTTTTTTGTGTTTTTTTTTCATTTAACCCAGCGGCTGAATGACAGCTCAAGAGGAGCCGCTGTACTAACTTTCCAATGTTAGTACAGTGATCTCCCCTGTTACACTACTGTGTTCTGACAGTGGGGGATGCCCCCCCCCCTCCCCGCCAGAACACTTTGGTCAGGCCACTATGGTCAGCCAATGGCTGCAAGTTCTGATTGGGAGCCAATCCGCAGATCTTTTTTCGGTCATGCCACTTCCATAAAAAACAGAATACAATATCAACCTAAATGTCCAAATTTGAAAAGCTTCTCTTTGGATTTTTATATAGATATATAATAATAAATATATATTTAGGTTATTAAGTATGTCTGGGAGCAGTGTTAAATTCACTAATGTCAACAATTGTTATCCTAAATAATGTTAGATATACCAATCCAATCATTTTTATCTTAAATTATGTATGTTGTGTTCTAGGTTGAATCACTGGATCAAAAGCTAAAAGAGCATTCAAAGGTTGACTATAAAGTAAAGGTATACCCAAAACAAATTCATGGTTTTGCACATCGGAAAAAAGAAGAGATTAGCCCTGAAGATAAACCTTACATTTTAGAAGCAAGGAAAGACATGCTGGACTGGCTGAACAAATATTTTAACTAATTGTCATAACTGTTTGCAGACACTTGATATGTTTGTATAGAATCAGTCAATCAAAGCAGAGATACCATGATGATCAAGTGTATTTTTCAAGAGTATTTATTCTGATAAAGAATAATGAAAATACATAAGTGAAATATTTTCTTTTAAAACAATCATGTTCAATCACGATATTCATGGATCTGGCTCACTATGTTCTCCGTACAAAAGCAACTTTTGGTCTAATATCTTGATGAAGCAGTGGCTAAATAATGACAAATATTACTACAAAAAAAGAAAGGCAACCAGAAAATCAATGTGATATTAATAAATAAACAATACTGAAAATAGAATGTTGTATAATAAAGATTTTGTTTTGCAGAGCATTCTTGTTCAGTCATATGATTTTCATGGATCTAGCTCATTCATTTTCCCTGGACACAAAGAATGTTTAGTCTGGTGTCTTGATGCAGCAGTTGCTAAAGCTGAAGCAAATATTATTAATACACTTCTAATAATTATACAAGAAGGAATTGCATCTAGTCAATAAGTCATAAATCGAAATAAAAAGGTGTTTTGAAATATACATCAGAAGGCAGTAATTTAAAACTAGAAAGTATAAATGTGATGTTCCTGACTAGCAAAGATGTGTTTATCGCAAGAACAGAATTTAAAATCCTTAGCCCAGGAAAATAGTAAGATGTCATTTTTGTACTTACTGTAAAATTCCTGTCTTGGAGTCCGTTAAAGGACACAGAAACGTTATACTGCCATGGGTTATATACTAGCTTTGCCTTAAGTGGAATGGACACCAAGCCAAATAAACAACAGTAGTCCAGCCCTTCCATACCAGCCAATTTTAGGTATGCAGAATGAGGAAAATAATGACTATACACATATAAGAGGGAGCTGTATCCTTCATTCAAAAAAGATTTTACGGTAAGTAAAAACTTTTTTACTCTATTATCCCATACGGGACACCGGAACAATATATTACCAAGAGAAGTTGGCACAAACAGGGATAGCTTCTTTGATTTGACAGAAGTTTACTTTGAAACCAAAAGTTTCAGGTTCAGAATATACGGTAGAGGAGGGGATGTAACTAGCTATGTCATATTTTATACAGTAAGGGCATGAACTAGGAAATCGCTATCAACTGCCTCTGGAAAGGGAAACAAAAGCCAAGACTTGACCCTAGCTAGTACTCAGTACCAGCTGGATGCTGGACTCACACCTAAAACAGACTTGCCAAGTTCTGTGGTACACCTTATGGGAAGTAGACTCACCTGCCAATTGTATAGTTGTGATAATCAAGTCTCCAGCAGGCCACTGCTGTGAATGTGTCTGACCAAACAATCAGTAACAGACTTCATGAGGGTGACCTGAGGGCCCAACGTCCTCTAGTGGATCTTGTTCTCACTTCCTGGCACCACAGAGCTCGATTGGCATTTGCCATTGAACACTAGAATTGGCAGGTCCTCCACTGGCGCCCTGTGCTTTTCACAGATGAGAGCAAGTTCTTCCTGAGCACATGTGACAGACATGAAAGGGTCTGCAGAAGCCATGGAGAACGTTAGGCTGCCTGTAACATTGTTCAGCATGACTGTGTTGGTGGTGGGTCAGTGATGATCTGGGGAGGCATATCCATGGAGGGAGACCCAAACCTCTACAGGCTAGACAATGGCACCCTGACTGCCATTATCGGGATGAAATCCTTGGACCCATTGTCAGACCCTACGCTGGTGCAGTGAGTCCTGGGTTCCTCCTGGTGCATGAAAATGCCCAACCTCATGTGGCAAGAGTATGCAGGCAGTTCCTGGAGGATGAAGGAATTGATCCCATTGAATGGCCCACACTCTCGCCTGACCTAAATCCAATAGAACACCTTGGGGATATCATGTTTCGGTCCATCCACCACTGCCAGGTTGCACCTCAGACTGTCCAGGAGCTCACTGATGTCCGCCCTGGTCCAGATCTGGGAGGAAATACCCCAGGACACCATGGGGTTTATTTACTAAAGCTGGAGAGTCCAAAATCGGACTCCCTTCTGCATAGAAACCAATCAGCTTCTAACCTCAGCTTGTTCAATGAAGCTTTGGCAATGAAACCTGGAAGCTGATTGGTTTCTATGCAGAAGGGAGTCTGATTTTGGACTCTCCAGCTTTAGTAAATAAATCCCCATCTGTTGTCTCATTAGGAGCATGCCCCAGCATTGTCAGGCATGCATAAAAGAATGTTTGCCATTCACAGCTTATCCCTGCTGTCTCAAAGGGAGCCTGTCTTATAGACTTTTTATAATATTAATGTCCAACACTTGAGGTGAACGTGTGTCCACACGGAGGTAGTGATGATGTTTAGAAGTATGATTTCACACATTTGAAGAGTGCTTGAACAAAGTTTGAATACATAAAGATATTTTCCAATCGTGAAGTGCTCCAGTATACACTGTATGTTCAAAAAAAAACCAAATGTCCACAGGGGAGGTCTCTTTTAAAATAAAAAATATTTTCATGATTAAATAATTTGTGGATGATTTTGATTTATGTGATTGTTATAGCGTGGTATACCGTATTTTTTTTTCTAAATAAGACGCACTTTTTTCCCCCCCCAAAAAAATTGAAAATGTCTGTGCGTCTTATGGAGCGGCCAACTCTGTATTTCCCCCGTGTTTGAATACCGGGCTGGCTGCTCGGATCTTCTCTGCAGACCTCCAGCGGTCCTACCTGTTCCTTGGTCCAGCGGTGTCCTCAGTTTTCTCTCCCCGGTGCCGGCATCTGGCAGTGACAGCTTGCAGCTTCACAGCCGGGTGCCCACTGCACATGCACGAGAAGCGTGTCTGCAGACTCTGGTCATCTCTTGTACTATGTCTGCAGTCTCTGATCATCTCCTGTACTATGTCTGCAGTCTCTGGTCATCTCCTGTAGTATGTTCGCAGTCTCTGGTCATCTTCTGTACTGTGTCCGCAGTCTCTGGTCATCTCCTGTACTATGTCTGCAGTCCATTGGTTCAGAATATTTTTTTTTCCTCCTCTAAAATCTTGGTGCGTCTTATGGTCAGGTGCGTCTTATGGAGCAAAAAATATGGTAATTGTAGATTCACTGAGCGCAGTATATTTTATTTTTTTTATATTTTGGAAGGGGTTTTGTCCACTTCTGCAGGTTTTTGTAGTTTTTCAAGTTGGGCGAGCGCAAGAGTACCTCTTAAGATAAATGTACAGACCTGTTGACTCATTTTTCCTTTTTTAAATATGGCCCCCCATGTGCCCACATGGGCGATGCCATCTGTCTAGAAGTTGCTATGATTTGGCTTTGTGAATCAGGAAATAAACCCCTTTGGACTTTGAATCTGGGAGGCCACAGTGATAAGTATTCAGGTAATATTGGTTTTGGAATTTAGGGGTCTTAACATCCTTGAAATGTGTTTCTTGTGGAAAAAAAAAAAAACCCTTGCACCTTAAAGCATTTTATCTCATGCTAGATGATAGATCTCAGGGGTATTCAATCACTTTGCATTTAGAGAGATGAGTTTGGAAGGGGGTATGTGATGAAGCTTTAGTCGCTCTAGACAAGCAAGAGCAGGACAAAATAGGTGGCCAAAAGAGACAGAACCAAGGGAAATAGAAGTGGAGGTGTAGGTGGTGGTGGGGTAAAAGTGGGAAAGAGAAGGTAGGGTGAAAGTGAGGTCAGGTCAGGTGGGAAGGGAAAGCTGCAGGGGGATACTAGTAAGAGTGAAAAGCTGAGAGGTAGGGTTGGGGTATCAAACTGGCGGCCCTCCCAGCTGTTGCGAAACTACAAGTCCCATCATACCTTTGCCTTTGGGAGTCATGCTTGTAACTGTCAATCTTGCAATGCCTCATGGGACTTGTAGTTTGGTAGCAGCCGGAGGGCCGCCAGTTTGACACCTGTGGGTTAGAGGAATCCGCTTGTATAGCTACCATAAAGGCAGGTTCACACTAGAACATTGAGCGGGGAATTCCATGCATGTTTCCTACATCGCAGGAGAATGCACTGCCCTTGCTATCTTCTTGCGGGTGTCAATGAATTGTTAATGGCCCTCCAAATGCAGATTGCATACACAGTGCACGTGCAAGCACCAAATCACATGGTACCGCAGTACCATGAGGTTTGGGGCAGTGAGTTTTGAAGGAGTAGTGCATGCACTACTTTTTCCATGGCTCGGTGTGTTTTGCGACCCACTCCAATGAATTGGCTGTCAAAATGCATCGCACAGGTATGCGCACATTCCTGTGCAATCCCATTGAGATTCGGACCTAGGGGTTTATATGAGTAGATAGGAAAATGTTGCTGCTGGGATCATCAATAGTTATTTCTATCATCTGTTGTAACTCACAGTGCAACAAGCAAAAGTATTATTATTAGTACATGTAGTGAAGTCTACAGATAATATACAGTGGTGGTCAGTAACCAGTACATCTCGGCCAGGTGACAGGTAGATCACGGTCAGGGCTTTCAGACCCGACATCCCACAGCATCAAACAGAGTGCAATGCTGAGGGACTACTTGTAAAGTAGGGTTGCCACCTCATCCCTTTAAACCCGAACACGTATTAATTACACAGGTTCTATGGCTGGTTAAGGTGGTAATTAAACTCACTTAGTGCCTTATCTGCATTAAATTAGCCTCAGAACCTGTGTGAATAATATGTGTTTCGGGCCTAAAGGGATGAGATGTACTAGGGAGCAAGAGCCACATAAGCCGATGTCTCCTCTGTAGTGCTGGCTCCTATGCCCTGTCATGGTTGGTGGGTGTAGCATCTGCCAAGCATGACCCATTCAAATGAAGCCTGCAGCCTTGTGCAGTACAGCAAACAAGGGGTTAAACAGACAGTGATGTGTTGCTTTCTCACCAATTGCTTTAACCCTTTGGACCCTCCAGAAGCATGCGGTTGCAGGGTGCTTGCTGAGTGGCCCCATTTACTTGAATAGGTCATGATTGGCAGGTGGTAGTACCCTCCAATAGCAACAGGGGGTTTCATTCCTGCTGTGAAAACCTTTGGCTGCTGCC